TACCAAAAAATTTGCATATTTTTTTAAAGCGTCCGTACGCAGCACCCAGGCGTTCACGCGGGATGAAATTAAAACGGGAGGGTCGTGCATGATATAGGCACATATCCCCAAAGTTTCAGCCTTCTAGCTTTTCTGATTCTCGAGTTGAAAGTGGGTGACAAAAAGTGTGAACACACAGACACACACACACACACACACACACACACACACAGACAGCCTCTTCCCAATATGCGTATTTGCAATTTACATATATGCAAAAACGCATGAAAATGCAAATTTTCAGTTAACTAAAAAGTGGGAATGTTACTAGAGCGGTCGCTCGTCAAAAAATCCAAATATGCAAATGAACTGAATGTTCATTTATATATTTGGATGAGGACGGTCGTTCGCTGCAAAACGTACTCGTTTCTGATTTTTATGCGTTTTTGCTGTACAGCGCTATAGCGCTGCTACAGCCAGCAAAAGCGCATATTGTCGAGATGCTGTATGTCTGTGTGTGCTCGAAAAGCGAAAGCATTTTGTCACCCACTTTCATCTCAGCAAACAGGAAAGCTGGGAGGTTGAAACTTCGGATAAATGTTCCTACCCCGTGCGTCATCCTCCTTTTTTAAGATCTTTCCACATACGCGCCTGAATCCCGCGTACGGGACCCAAAAGAAATATGTTGGCGAGAAACAATTTCGCGAACCAGGCAAGGTAGAAAGCTAAAATTTCGCAGGGATATTCTCCATGCACGCGCGAAAAAAAACTCAGCTGTCCAGCACCCCAGCCACAACCTCAAGCAGCTCTTGAACTCAAAAATCGTTAGGAATCCATCGCAACTCGGACCTGAACCCAATCGTACATGTAAATGATATTAGTTAATTTGCATACATGGCTTTTTTGCCAAACGACCGCTCGAGCAATACTTCCACTTTTTAGTGAACTGGAAATTTGCATTTTTTCAAAAAATTTGCATTTGTCACTTTTTAACGAGGCGAGCATTTACCGAAAAAACAGCGGACATCATGCAAAATACCGGTAAATCAGCTGCTAAAAGCGGTAAAATCAGTTTTCTATAGTAAAACAGCTGCTACCTGAGCCCCCTAAGGGCGAAAAACCTCCTGCCCCTCCCTCCTCCCGTCGGATCTGCCAAAGGTTATCCACCCCAGAACAGCCGCGAAATCGCCTTTCCAATCCAACTACTGTTCCGGAAAGTGGGCCCCGTGGCTGTTCCGAGATGTGGATTGCGCAGCTGTTCTTAGGAGGGGGGTGCCATGGCTGTTCTAAGGGGGACACCACTGTTCCTATCATGCAAAAAACACTACGGTATCCCTCTCCCAGAATAATCGCAGAGTGCGCTCCCCATCCCTCCCCTCCCTCAACATCTGCAAATGCCAAGCATGAACGAGAACCGAACGAACACCGTCCCCCGCCCCGCTTTATCCAACACCGACCGGCCGCCCTCCAACACCGACTGCCTTCCAACATCGATCGCCCCCCTCCCCAACACCCCGTCCTGGACACCGACTTCACGCTCAACACCGCACACGACCACCCACCCCGAACCAAACAAGCCCACGAGTGAGCAGCGTTAGACCGCCCAGCGAGGGGCTGTGAATCTCATCGTACGGTACTCACAGAATACCGCTTTGTAATTGTACTGTATAATGCAGCACAATACCATCGCTTTGTGAAGATGGATGTCCAGGGCGGGGGCCGGGGGAGGGAGAGAAGCGAAGACAACTAGCAGAGGGGGTGAGGCAAGGGCATGGAAATTTGATGGGGTACTTCAAAGTTTGATGCAAAAACGCATGATTGCACCGGTTCGCCTGGTGCGTTCCAGCCTGGGTTCGGTGAAGTTAAGCATTTCTGACGCCCACCTGCAGGGAATTTCACGTCCAAGCAGAATTAAGACCGACTTGAAAGTGGAATATCTCAGCAAAGTTTCAGCCTTGCACCTTATCCGGCAAACGAAATAGCTTCTTCGCTACAAATATCTTTGAAATGCCCTAATTCGCGGTGCAATTGAAAATCAGTACTCATTTTAGGTATACAATTTCCCATATGGTTGACAAACAAACTAACAAAATTTCAACTGTTTTCCGGCAAGTTTTCGAGTTAGCACAGTACCAAGTTGCAAACTTTGACGTAATCGTGCGCGCTACACCAAGTGCGCGACAGCTGAATTTAAAATCTTTTGCTCGCACAAGCACAGAGAACATCCCTGCAAGGTCTTAGCTTTGTACCTTGCCTGGTTTGGGAAATCGTTTCCCTCCAAAGAAATTCGCATACTTTTTTGGGGGTCCATACGCGGGGTTTAGGCGCGTGTGAACGAAAATTTTAAAACGGGAGGATGACACATAAGTTAAGGACATATGCCCGAAATTTCAGCTTCCCAGCTTTCCTGGTTTCTAAAATGAAAGTGGGCACTTGCTTCCAAACACACACACAGACGACCTCTCGGCAATATGCGTTTTTGCTGGCTGCAGCAGCGCTATAGCGCTGCACAGCAAAAACGCAAAACAACAGGTTAATATGAGCTCTGGGTTTGAAGTTTTGGCACAAGACAGTTGAAATCTGGATTTATAACACTGACACAAAGTCTCAAAATGTTTTCCGGCTGTCATCTGTCAGCCTCGTGCGTATTTTGCTATGCGTTTTGTGCTGTGCAACAGCTGCATACGGGTTTGCCTGTGTGTGCGTTTGTGTGTATGTATGTGTGTGTGTGTGTCTGTGCTCGATGCATGTTGCTCGCAATTTTCAACCCGGGAACCGCAGAAGTTGGAAGGTGAAAATTTAGGGAAGTATTCCCACATCCAAGTTTAATTTCAGCCTTCCCCTGGGTATGCGTACTACCCCTTGAAAGTTCTAGCGGGGAACATTATTGTTACTGGAACTGTGGAAGCTAGGAAGCTGAACTTTTGGGGTGAAGAGCCCTGCCTAAGTACGATTTCGCAAGTATAAATTTGGCCCTTTCGTCGTTTGGATATCAAACACGGGTCCGCGAAAATTTTGATGGAGAAATTATCTCGAGGACCATGAAAGCTAGGAAGCTGAAATTTTGCGGTAATGTCCCCTGTTCTCAATTTAAAATTCAGCCTTTCCCTACGTCTAGGTAGTGCATACGATCCCGTGAATGTTTTGGTGGGGAAAATTATTAACTCGGGACTCATGAAGACTATGAAGCCTGATCTTTAGGGTAATGACTCCTGCCTATGTACGACCTCGCAAATTTAAAATCAGTCTTCCTCCACACTCGACTTCGTAAGAGTTTTGTCGAGGAAATTATCTCAAAAAACCATAAAAACTAGGAGGCTGAAAATTTCACGATGATGTTTTTGCAGGCGCAGAAGCCTCACAAACTAAAATTTATTCCCCAAGTACGCCAAAGTCTCAGGTACGATCAAGTAAAATTTTGGCGCGGAAATCACTCGAAAACCATAAAATTAGGAAGTCGAAATTTTGAAAGATGTTCATCGTCCAAAGTTTCGGATTGACTTTCACGCACTGGTACTTATAAATCTTCGTGATAAAATTCGCAGCTTAGGGGCCAAACATCTCAGTTATTTTTGCGCCGAACAAACTGCAAAGCAATGAAAATCCTTAACAGGCAAATGTTCGCTGGACGGAACTGCGCAAAATGTTAGTCGTACGAGCTGCCCTGGTGTGTAACCTATTTATTAATTTTCATGAGAATTCAGTGGCACGGCGGGACCCCCCGTTCGTCTAGTTAGACACCACATTTCGGATCCGACCACAGGCTACTGGTTCCCTACTTGTACTCTAAAACAACTGAAACTGGATTAGTTAATTGAAAAACTGTAAAGAACAAGGACAATTTTGGCTCAGGGAGTATCGTTTTGGACAAAAGATGGTGAAGACGGGCACACAAACGTTATACTTGTACTACGGTAACAGCAAAGATTTACTGTAGGGAGCTGCGCTTACTTAATGTAACATTCAGTAGCGATACTTTTTTCTGAACTTGATCAAATTTAGTATCGTTTTATGGTCTAAATTTGTCGCTAACAGCAATAGCATTTATGCTTCATGTTATATTCACTTATTTGGCACACATATTGCCCGATGATATGGAACTTCCGTTTAAGGTAAATTGTTTTTGTATGGTTCTGAAACAATTTTGGATTTTTTGATTTTTTAGGCTATTTAGGTTTTTTGGGTTTCATTTAAAATAAAAGGCTTCATGTATTCCTCTAAAAAAGTAATCGACTACCCAGACGCTTTTAAACGGTAGAGGTGTCGGGCAACGGATTCAGGTGAAAAGTCTCACGTGAGAAAGCCGGATATGCTAGCGCTCAGTCTTTAATTATATTAAAATGAAAAATCTGCGGCACAAATGCGGCAGCTTAAGCCGTCTGATTGAATTTGTTGATTTTTAAATTTTTTAAACTGTTTCCTATATGCAGTGCAGATTATTTTTGCCATATTTTTCCCAAAACACTACCACTTCACTTTTTCAACTTCAGCTTGTACAGATCTTTGACTCTTATTTTATTGAATGACATCGAATAAGTCATTGTTTTTTGCGCTAATTATTTTTTTTTTCAGTTAACTGATATAACGGAACGACTTCAACGAATGAGCCCATTTAAACTGAAGGGATTTTCATTTGATCCGCAAAAGTAAGTCTCCTCAGTGAAAAACCCTGCTTTTAGGCATAATTTTTGAGGTCTTAAAACATTCTTAAATCCACCACACCCACGCTTGGCACGCTGCAGTAACTCCATGTTCCCAAAATTTCTTCTCACACCGCGTGTCTGGGCGATTTAAATGACATGTAAATTATCTCAAAACTCTTTGACACTGAGAAATTCTTACAGCTGACATTGTCATCATCATTATCGTCAAAATCTTGCAATCATAAAAACTGCCTCTATGCATGCAATTTGGGTCTGAATATGCATAGTAGATGGAGGCGCAGGATATCAGTTAGCGGCGAAGAGTTCAGGAAAAAACACCTGATACTGCTAACTTAGGCAAACAGCTTCAACAGTTCCCGATCTAATAAAGTAAAATTTTTAGACTCTTAACAGGCGATTACCAGGATGAACAAGACCAAATACATCAGCCTATTATGGATATTGATCAAAATCCAGCATTTCCAGTGCTACTTGACAATGAAAATTTAGAAGCGAGTACCGCCAATAACGCTGATTCTGAAACTATACCACTAACTGAAGCTGCTGAAACAACGGGTATCGCTATCGCATTAACTGAACTTAAACGCCCTTAGCAAGTGATTTGTAAATAGATTGATGTGCCGATGATTAAAAACGCCAGTGGGTAAAAGGCGTTGTTTGCTCTTGCGAGTAGTCAGTGCATATTGTATGTATAATTTAATGACAATGTAAGCACAAAGTAATGGCTTATAATGAACGAGAATAAAAAAACGGATTTGTAGCCATTTACTTCATGCCATCTAGCAGAATTAAAACATCAGAATTTCAAATTTAAATTTAGTCCGCTTTGATTACCACGAATTTAAGGCAGTGGTTAAGTTGCGATAATGCTAGAATGCTGACTGTGTTACTCCGCTGATAAACTGAGTCCTCCAAGAGGTCGAATTTATGGCTTTTTTAGCCGTACTATAGTGTTGGCTTAAATTGTGCCCAAGGTCAATGCTCGCTGCAGAGGCAAACGAGAACGTAGATGTCAGGATTTTGTGACGTATGCGACAGGAAACTACTGCAGAAATCCCGTATTCTACTTCCGAAATTCCGAAGTTGAAGTGCAGAGAGACAGACATGCAAATGCACAAACACACTCGCGCACACATTTGCATACACTGCCAAAATTTTTTCGAAAACGCATAATGCCTGAAACTGAATTTGAGGAAAATCCGAACATCATTACGGATACTTATGTAAGATTAATTACTACTGCAGAATGTCCAGCGCAATTTGCACTGCCACTGCAAGCATCTGATGGGAGTAGTTAAAAATAATGTTCGGTCGTGAAGTTCGACCCCACTGCAAGTACCGCTGTGCGAGAGTGACCACTGCTTCAGTTAGAAGAGTACCCGCCGTTGCTGACATCAGTGTACAAATCTAGCAATCACTACTGCCATTATTTGCATGCTTAACAGTTGTCGCATTCGATGATCCCACGCAAGTACTGGTCTTCGCTGTGAATACCCACACACCACTTCGCCCTGCACTGCCGGAGCTTTCATACAACCGGATGCGAGCTGAGGCTACGCCAGCGAGATTCCTGTCTCCACGCTGGTCATCTATTGGTTATATAATTTTTTCATCAGGCTTTTCCGGAAGGTATCAGAAGTGAATGGCCATGCTCATCATCTTTGCTGTGTTCCGCTCCCTCGTTATGCCATGTTAAGCGTGCGAGCAGCTAGATGAAGTGTAATTTTGTTAGTAACAAAATTTAACGAGCTGTTTCAGGTGTTACAGTTCGCTCTGACAATGATGGTACTGTGCTGCTAGAAGCTGAGGAGCATAATCTTGAAAGTGATGGGAATCGCAAGCAAAGTGCTATGGGCGGCGGTGATACTGCTAATGAACTTGGCCATGTAGCACAACAACTGTACATCTTTAGGAGACTGATATTTTTCATATTCGTCATCATCTATGTCATAGCTGTGCCCATCTGTTTGTTTTAAAGTTCTCTTCCTGTAACGAATTTGAAGTAAATCCACCAAAACTAATAAAAACTGATGCATGAAAAAACATTGTAACCAGTGTAATAGATATTCTACTTTTATGTCCCAGTTCTATATTAAATTTCGCCTCTATGGCATACAGTAAATCTTAAAAATCTTCCAAAGACGATAAAACGCGTCTGTGTTATGCACATGACCGTTGGTCCCAACAAATCAATCTCTCGCTTACGAAAGCTCGAAACCCTGAAATTCTGCTATCACCGCTCATGGCTATGTAGAGGGTTGGAGCGTCAGATCGGTATGTTCTTCTGCGCTCTGGGCATGGGGACGTGCAATCCCGTCTTTCCATCTTCTGGATTTTTACAGTCGCATTATGCAACACTTATTGAAACAGGAATCTAAAATATCGGAAATAGTGTTGCGCGAGGTAGCCCAAAAATATTTACACAAACAAACCGAAATGGACAATCAACACAGTGCAGAGCTACCTGCAGCTCTTTATCACGACCTTAAAGGTTGAAGCTTAGTCTAGAGGGCGTGTATGGGTATGTGGGTAACCGACAACCTGCGACGTATATATACGTCACAGGTTGTCGGTTACCCACATATATATATATATATACGTATATATATACGTATATATATATCACAGGTTGAATATATATGCACTTACCACTATACTACACATAAGGCTATTAATAATACAGAGGAAATCAAAATAAGGAGAGGATATCGCGAAGCTCTGGGGAACTGAAGCTCCCCAAAACGGAGTTGGACGATCTCTGACGGAAGGGGCGAAGAAATAAAAAACCAACACTGCACCCTGGAGGCAGACAGGAGTGCTTATGTACCCGGGTGGCTACAGTTCAAAGAAACTGCATCAGAGAGATGGGCAGGATGTCTGAGATTTAAGGGACCAGGGATGTTACACCATAGTGACGCAATAGCTTTTCACGAAATTTTAACAAAACGCAGCAGATCATTACATGATACCTTAATACTCTTACACATAAAACCAAACACAAAGCAGGAGTCTCGGCTGTTACGGCGACAGCGGGCGGCGGTCTCCATTGGCGATCCTTGAAGTAGACAGTCATGATACTCGCTCGGACGCCGCATTGGCGAGTGCTTGCGCACTCCACTGTTCACGTTTTTCTGGTAACAACACTTGCACAAAGCCATAAATCTGAAACTTACTCATTCTTCTCGCTGCCATATTCTGTCAACACAAAATTAAATTTGACTAATTCTCCATAACTCGAGAGTCATCCAGACAATAAACAAAAAATTTTGGATAAATTTATTAATTCATTTAAAATAAATAGGATAAATTTATGCATACGAAGTTCGTAACATGAATTTTGATTAAAATTCGGATAAAGTTCATCATAGCCGATGTATAAAAGAAGCCACAAAGTGAAAATTTTGATTATAAAAGAAGCTACGAAGTGAATTCCGAAGACGTCCAAATTCCAGTTGATTTTACAAATTCAGAACAAGAAACCCTAAAAGCAGAACTTTTTTAGCACTGCTTAGGCAAATTTTTACACCATACATTTTCTAACTTATGAATGTACAGTTGAATACAAAATGCTGTCAAAGAAAGCAAAAGTCATAATCTGAAACTTTTGTGCTTTTTGTGCTCCGGGACTGACCAAAAACAGATTGTGATGAACGATGCGCATTGACAGCCACTGCATTGCAGACAATGAAATGTGCCAACACAAACCAATACAGCCGCACCAAGCTCGTTATTGCAATCATACGTTTTAACGTCAACGTTGAAGCGGTCAGATCGCTAACAGCGTTAGTGATTGATGCGTTACTGTCTAACACGCATGCTCATGTTGGCTGCGGTACGGTTTAACGCATCTTGGCCTTTTCTTGCATGTGAGCGAAAAGAATGCCGGTTGAAGCAGTACTTTTGCATCACGAAACCGTATGAAATCTTAACCCCCATCATGTATAGTTACTTTTTGAAAATTTACTTGGTGGACGGTCGTTCATCGAAAAATGCAAATTTAGCAATTAACAGAATGTCAGGAGAAGGATAATGAAATCCGCAAAATGCACCGGATTTTGAAACTACGATAATCCAGGCTGAAACGCATCAGGCTTGCCGGTGCGATCATGCGCTTCTGCACTAAACTCGCAGGTCGCTAATAGCAGAAATGATCCTTATGCTGTAGCCTAACACTTGGGCTCATATCGACCGCGCTCTAGCCCCCTCCAGCATGCAGGAGAAAGGGCGTTGGTTGAGACGAAGGTGCCGCAATATAGGGCTGTACGGACTTCCAGGTACATAATTACCAGTTTTTATGCGTTTTTGCCGTGCAGCGCTAGAGCGTTGCATCAGGCAGCAAAAACACATATTGCAACGACCCTGTCTGTGTGTATATGTTTGTGTTCGTCCGTCCGGGTATTTCAACTCGCTAACCGCGCAAGCTTTGGAGCTGAAATTTTGCCAGTGTGCTCCCCAGTCAGGTGCCACCCCAGGATCACAGTTTCAACCCTCACGCACGTCTGGGCCCCGCGTACGGGCACGTGAAAGTTTTGGCGCGAAAA